CAGCCCTTGCTGCTGATTGGCGAGTGATGTAGAAAACGCAGCTCTTTGCTGCTGTTTGGTCGAGAAACGGGCAGAAAAAACGCAGCAACAGCTGCTGTTTCGGTGTAGCAGCGAAGGGCAGCACAGCGCTGCTGTTTTGGGTCGGAAATGGACAGAAAACGCAGCAACAGCTGCTGTTTCGGTGTAGCAGCGAAGGGCAGCACAACGCTGCTGTGGGCGGTGGTCTAGCAGGTTGCTGTGAGGAAGGGCATAATCAATCGGTTGAAGGCTGAAGGTTCCAAGGTAGATGCGGCCCAAACCGGCGCTGTTGATGCTTCCAAAGAATCAAAACCAGAAGGAGCTTGAGAGAAGGTAGCTGCTACTTTCTTTTTATTTTTCCATCTCTTGCAGTGCTCCATCTTYAAGACACAGCTTTTTCTCAAAAGTTGTCTCCCCCACCTTCCTACCAAGAGATACAGAAGGTAAAGACCCCATGCCAAAGGGTAAGCCTACAGGTCAGGGTACAGATATAGTGGGTAACAAACCCCCTCCTTTTTTTTAAAAACTCTTTCCAAATACATTTTCAAATCCAAAAGATCATATAAATGCATTTTCCTTTTTTTTTTTTGAATGGCTTAGAAAGGTAGTAGGGTCTAAGCTCCTATCAAATAATATATATATATATATATATATATATATATATAGATATAGATAGATAGATATAGGTGAACACTTACCACGCAAACAAGACGGGGAAGGAAAAATTCCAGGTGTTACAAATTGATACCAAGATGATTTTATTTTAGAGAACCTTTTATTTAATAGACGCGGTAATCATACATTCATTTTTTAAAACTAGAAGATACTTATGCGATACAGTGAGATAAATCTTCATTTTAATGTATAGTTTTTATTCTTTGTCTCTATCAATATAATCCGATTTTATATGGTTTTGAGAAAGCGAATTTTTTTTATTTTAATTAAATATAAATTTGGAAATAACATAAAAATTTAAGAAAAATAAAATCAATATTACTATCAAATTAACTATTTAATAGTTCTCGTTTTTTTTCTAATTTTTTTAATTTAATTTAGATTTAATGACAAAGCAATTTTTATTTTTGGTTTAACAATATAATTTTTATAAAAATAATAATTAAACATTCTGTTAGGACTTAATGATTATTTTAATTATATATTTTAGATTTTCTATATTTAAAATGGATGTTTATCATGTCATTATGTTTATCAGCAGTTATTACATGAATTTAAAAATAGAACTTTAATAAATTACGCAAAATTAATTGTAATCTTCAATTTTAAGTAATATGCATCAATAAAGAGTACTTAATGCATAAAAAATGATTTTTATTTTTTTTATCAAATGCTTTATAATATAATGCTAGAAGGGTACTTGCACAATGCAGCAAGATAAATCTCGATATTAATGTTTAATTTTTATTTTTCGTCTCTATATATATAATACGATTTTAAGTGGTTTTGAGAAAAACGATGTTTTTTTTAACTTTTGAATGAAATATAAATTTGAATACCGCATAAAAATTTGAAAAAAATAAATTAATTGATATTAATAACAAATTAACTATTTAATAGTTCTCGTTTTTATGGTGCAACTTCTTTAGTTCAATTTTTTTACTATAATTTAATTTAGATCCAATAACAAAGTAATTTATTTTTTGTTTAACAATATAATTTTTTTATAAAGATAATAATTAAACATTCTGTTATAACTTAATGATTATCTTAATTATATTTTAGATTTTTTACATTTAAAATGGACGTTTATCCTATATTTGATTATGTTTATCTGCAGTTAGTTACACACATTTAAAAATGGAGCTTTAAGAATTTATACTTACGCAAAATTACTTGTAATCTTGAATTTTCTTAAGTAATATACATCAATAAACAATACTTCATGCATAAAAATGGTTTTTAATAGTTTTTGTTAAATGTTTTATAATATAACTATAAGGGTACTCGCGCAATGCAGCAAGATACATCTCGATTTTAATGTTCTATTTTTATTTTTTGTCTCTGTCAATGCTATAAAAGGATTTTGTGTTTTTAAGAAAGTAATAATGATTTTATTTTTGAATAAAATATAAATTTGAAGATATCATAAAAAATTGAAAAAAATATATTTCAATGTTAATATCAAATCAACTATTTAAAAGTTCTCATTTTTTATTTAATTTATTTTTTCTAATTATAATTTAATATAAGTTTAATAATGAAATAAATTATTTTTGATTTAATAATATAACGTTTTATAAAGATAATGATTAAGTATTATGTTATAACTCAATGATCTTAATTATATTTTGGATTTTTATATTTAAAATGAGATGTTTATCATGTATTTGATTATGTTTATCTGCAGTTAGTTACACGAATTCATATATGGATGTTTAATAAGTTGTACTTACACACAATCTACTTGTAATATTGAGTTTTAAGTAACATGTATTAATAAACAGTACTTTATGCATAAAAAATGATTTTTAAGAGTTTTTGTCAAATGATTTATAATATAGTATAGATAGTGATAGCCAAAAACTGGTCCCGGGCCGTTCCCAACCGGTCCCAATTTTTTTCATAACCAGCCATAATCGGTCCCGGTCGAAAATGGTAAAACCGGTCAAGGTTATTCACAACCGGTCCATGGCCGCCGGTCTCGGTCCCAATCGGTCCTGCCCATTGAAAAAAATATTTTTTTAATGATATATATTTTTAATACATTATAAAATTTGTTACTGAGTCACTAAAATACACTTTAAAAATGCGTTTTATTATAATTAAAATTACATTGACTTTCAAAAATTTATTATAAATACATTTTGGGCCGGGCCGGTCTTTAATCGGATGTAATTTCTTGTTTTGTTGTGTAATTTTTTTAATTCAAATTTTTTTATTATAATTTAATTTAGGTTTAATAACGAAGTAATTTATTTTTGATTTAATAATATAATTTTTTGTAAGGATAATAATTAAGTGTTTTGTTATAACACAATGATTATTCTAATTATATTTCAAATTTTTTTATATTTAAAATGAAATGTTTATCCAGTATTTGATTATGTTTATCTGCAGTTAATTACATGAATTCAAGCATGGAGCTTTAATAAGTTGTATTTATGCATTATTTATTTGTAATCTTGAATTTTTTTAAGTAATATACATAAATAAACAGTACTTTATGTATAAAAAATGATTTTTAATTTTTTTTGTCAAATGCTTTATAATATAGTATAAATATGACTTCTATCACATAATAATCAAATATGGAAATTTATGTTTATTTAACTTTTAACGTCCAAAAGTATACACCAAATTATATCTGAGAAATGATTTTGCTAATATGGAGTTGAACTTGTTTATATATTTTAAATCCATCAGAAAATTCAAAGATTTTGAATTTAAGGGGTCGTTTACCAAAGGCTTACACGAGTAAGCGCTTACCAAATCGCAACATCCTACCGAATAAATATGGTAAGAACCAAGAATCTTACCCGGTAAGAGCGAGACAAGGAGCAAGAGTCTTACCCGGTAAGTGCTTGTCGGGTAAATTGTTGCATACAATGCCGTTTTGGTGAACAAAATCTTACTCAATAAGTAAATGATATTGTTTATAAGCACTGATTTAAGTTAATAAAAGATAAAATATTTCTCAAGAAATATTTCAAGTCTTTCAAACAAGTTTATTATGAATTAATTTTAATTTTTTTTAAAAAGTAAAAACTTTTGAAATCCAAATCAATTGAAATTTTCAATTTTCATGTGAAACAATTCTTATTTTTATGTTTTTTTATTCACCTTTTAAGAGATAATCTTGTTTGACAAAAAAAAAATGTCTTTTAATAGTTTTAAAACTATCTTAATAATTTTGTATCATGGACCTTTCTTAATCATTCAGCACTCTAATTCAATTGTAAACAATTACCGAATAATTATATTTCATTTTACACTATATCATGAGAACCTATTAATAATTTTGACCACTTAATCATTCTACACCAAACCATTCAGTAACTACCAAACAACCCTTAGATTTTATTGCTTTACAAACCATGAGTTGAGTATGTTTTTTAATGTTGTGATAAAAAGTTGTATTTAATAAGTTATAAGCCAACTTTTTGAAAAAAACTATTTCAGATAGTTTATTGACTTTTTTTTTACAATTATGTTTTTTTTATATTTTATATAAAAATCTCTTATATTTTTAGGTCATTTGACACTGTGATTACAATTTTGAAATGCTAGAATGATATTCGCGCAATACAGTAAGATACATCTCGATTTTAATGTTATATTTTATTTTTTGTCTCTGTCGATGTTATAATACGATTTTATGTGTTTTTAATAAAGCAATAATGATTTTATTTTTGAATAAAATATAAATTTGAAGATATCATAAAAATTTAAAATATATATATATTAATGTTAATATCAAATCAATTATGTAAAAGTTCTTATTTTTTATATAATTTCTTTAATTCATTTTTTTATTATAATTTAATTTAAGTTTACTAATGAAACAATTTATGTTTGGTTTAATAATATAATATTTTATAAAAATAATAATTAAGTATTCAATGATTATCCAAATTATATTTTATATTTTTTATATTTAAAATGAGATGTTTATCATGTATTTGATTATGCTCATCTGCAGTTAGTTACACGAATTCATATATGGAGCAATAATAAGTTGTACTTACGCACAATCTACTTGTAAACTTGAGTTTTAAGTAATATGCATTAATAAACAGTACTTTATGCATAAAAAATTGTTTTTACAATTTTTTGCCAAATGCTTTATAATATAATAGAGATATATTCGTACAAAAAAATAGTTATTATTCATGTATTTATATTATTTTCATTCAATTTTAATCAAGATAACCATCAACCTTTTCTTTTTATATCTGAAAATTAAGAGTCCAGACCTGTAACTAGAAAAGTAAATGTTGAACTGAAAATCAATCCAATGATGAATTAAAGTAAATACCCGATATTTATATGTAAAATATACACATTATTACATCGAATATTCATTTGAATCAAAAGTTGATGAGAATCTTAAGGCAATCAGGCTTCTTTAGTGTGTCAAATGCTTCATGTATATCCTCCAATCGTATCTCGTGTGTCAAAAGCTCCTTCACTTCTATCTCCTGCAATTTTCAATTTAATTTTATAATTAATATCGTACCAAAAAATAAATGAAATTTATTTAAAAGAGTAATATATTTTTAATGTAAAAAACAATAAAACATATCAAAAATGAATTTGGATGTCAATTGATAGTTTATCATTCACCTTATTGATGCATTTCTCAATCAAGATCGGAAGATCTGATCGGGTTTTTACGCCACCGAAAAGGGATCCTTTCAGAGTTCGACCATTGAATAGTGTTGTGCTTTTAATTGCCAAATTCGAGCTTAACCCAGCGCCTATTAACACAGTTGTCCCTAATCCCTGAAATTTAAATAATCTTCGTCAGTTTGACACCAATATAAGTTGTTTATCCAAACACTCTAAAGTGCTTATTACCGGTGCTACATCGGAATAAGTCAATAAGTTGTTTTATAACCAACCCCAAACACCCCCTATATATCGTACTTACAATTTTGGAGGCCTCGATGGCTTCATTCAACAAAGACGGGACTCCGGTGCACTCGAAACAATAGTCGACACCTAGCCCGTCCGTAATATCTTTCACTAAATTGGAGACCGATTGATTTGGATGGTCCTTAGGGTTGATGAAATCCGTCATCCCAAACACCTTTCCTTTGGTCGATTTAGTTTCATTTATATCCACTCCTATAATTTTCGACGCCCCTTGCATTTCTGCTCCTTTTATCGCCTGTAAATTGTTCGAGACATATATGTTACGGATTATAATCAATAAACAAAACCAAACTAAACGAACCCAATATATCTCATGGAGGAGCATAGGTTCTGATCAACCAATTATTATTAAAAAAACTAAGAATAAGGTAGGCACCCCGAGACCGACAGCCCCAAGGCCAAATACGGCAACAGATGAATCCTTATGAATTGGGGTCTCCTTCCAAGGTGCACCGAATCCGGTGGTGAAGCCACATGACAAGAAACTGGCGTAAGGGAGAGGCATCTTGGGGTCAATCTTGAGTACGTAGTTGATGTCAATGACCATATACTCCGACCATGTGGAGCAACTGAAGTGGTGGTATATGGTTTCTCCGGTTGCAGCCATGGACATCCGGGAAGTGCCGTCGGGCATGAGGCCGGTCAAGCCAATCGAGTGAGCATGACAAATGTTGGTCTTTCCCGATTTACAGTTCAAGCATTCTCCACATTCACCGAGATAAAGTGGCATCACTATATCCCCCGGCTTAACCCCTGTTTTCACGTTTATCCCTACGCTCTCTACCATTCTGCACAAAACCATGTTATATAATCAATCCGTAAATTAATGAATTATTATCGAAATACGTAATATACGTACCCAACCCCTTCATGTCCAGGAATACGAGGAAACAAAGGCTGCAATTGTAGAAAAATGTTAGATCAAGATATATAAACCGTTACATATTTCAACGGTTTTTGGAGACGGTTAGAAAAAGGGGAACGTACAACGGGGACGCCATTGCAACATAGGATATCGGTATGACAAATGCTCGCACATAACATCTTGACCCGGACTTCTGAAGCTTTTGGTGGATCCACTTTTATCTCCTCCACCGTCACCGGCCCACCAAGCTCTCGTACGACCGCCGCTGCACCACCACTTTCGTTAACTACAACGTTATTAAAGTTCAATTTTGCGTCTATGAAAACTATCGTGATACACGTACCTTTACAAGTGATCACATCGAGAATGTCGTTGGTCATGTTAGCCAAGTGGTTCTTTACAAAACTGTGAATGCCAAAATCACACCATCAATCAATTTATAACTTCGTTTGATGGATCACGTTCAATGTCAGGTGTGGATTTGGTTTCATATGAAGTCAGTGATATAACTTGAAATAACTTTTCAAATTAAATATAGAAGCCGTTTACCGAACGCTTACTCGGGTAGGTGAACACCAAATCACATTATCTTATCGAATGAATATGGTAATTACCAAGAATCTTGTTATAGCTTTTAAATAAGGGGAAGACTAATGGCACCCCTACAACCATGTAATCATTTCTCTTTTAGTTTTCTTTTTGCAATTTTGTCTTTTTGTTGTCTTTTTCCTTTTTAAACTAGTTCTTATAAATTATTTTACTATAAATATATACTATTACAATTACTATATTTTATTCTATAAAAATATTAATACTAAAAAAATATTATTCTT